GGCCGATGCCGATACATTAAAAAATGCTAAATATCGGCCCGATATATCGGCCGGCCGATATATCGGTCGAATTCTAGCTGCTTCTCATTGGTTACATAACACTTTCCTACTATTCGACTATGAGGTTCATAGTCGAATCAGACGTCTACGAATCGAATCGTCGAATCCTCGACTATTAGAAGTCAGCCCTAGTTTTTAGCATCTAGTTTTATCCATACAGCTTCTGTACTTTTATTTTTATCAGTGAGCTCCCTTGCCTGCAAGTTTTCTTTTACGTATACTGCAACACCACCTCCTTTCTTACCTATCCAGTTTCTACGGAACAACGTATAACTATCCATATTATATTCTTCACCATCATTGTCACTCATCCATGTTTCAGTTATTCCTATAATGTCGTAACTGTCATATGAAATTAAAGCCTTTAAATCATGAATTTTGTTTCTAATACTCCTAGCATTTAAATACAGACTGCATAGGGTAGGCCTTTTACAGTGTCCACTTTTAATATCTATTGGGGCTTTCCGTTTCTCCCCACCTAAATTCTTAACTAACCTCCCTGCCCCCCCATCCCTAGTCTAAACATCCCTCAACTATTCTACACATACGCCTCCCCAATACACTAGTTCCCCTCTGGTTCAGATGCAACCCGTCCGGCTTGAACAGGTCCCACCTGTTCCAGAAGGTCTCCCAGTGCCCCATAAACCTAAACTCCTCTTTCCTACATCACCATTTTAGCCATGCATTTAATCCCCTTATCTCAGCTAACAGCCTGGCTTGCACGTGGCACGGGAAGAATTCCAGTGACTACCACCGTGGATGTTCTGCTTCTAAGCTTATCCGCGACTTCTATAAATTTATCTTGCAGAACAGCCCTCCTGCCCTTTCCTATGTCATTGGTGCCAACATACACCACGACCACTGGATCCACCCCGGCTGGGGCCAAAAGCCTGTCCACACAATTCGGAAGGTTCCCTACCTGGGCACCAAGCAGGCAAGACACCGTACAGGACCCTCTATCATGGGTGCACACATAACTATCTACACCTCTGATAATTGAGTCCCCTACTACCACAACCTCCCTCCGCCTGGAGGTAGGCGGCTCCTTGGTGCCCAAGGGCCCACCTGCCTCCCCAGTCTCTTCCGGAAGCACCTGAAAGCAGTTAGACACATCACTTCAGGTGATGCTGCCTCTGTGAACTGTGTACACCCTTTTCTACGTCTACGACCTACGTTCACCCAGCTCTCTCGACCTACCTGTTCATCATTCTCCCCCCTCCCTGCTTGTGACGTACACACAGTCTCCCTAAAAGGCGTATTAGCTCTCTTCTTTAACTCATTGTTGTGTTGGATGAGAGTCAGTTGCTCCTTGAGTTCATGAACCTGGACCATGAGTGAGTCCACTAACTTACATCGCTCGCAGACAAAGTCAAACTCGACACAACCATCCAGAAGGGCAAACATCTTGCAAACACAACACTGAACTGGCCTCATAATTACCTAACTCACTATGACCCCATCCTTTACTCCCAGCCCAGTATATTAATAGAGAATATTTAAACTTTTAGCTGATTTAATTAACATATAGTTAAAACAATAAAGTCCCGAGCACAATAAAACACTAAACTAATACTTGTGCTAACAAGGACAGACAAGTACTCACGCAAACCGAGGAAAAAATTAAAGTAAAAAATGAAACAACAACCACCCACATAACCGTACTGGCACACAAACACTCAAATACACACAAATATACTTCTAGATAATTCCAGTCAACCGCTTCAACAGGCGCACAACACAACACAAGTGCACACAGTGTATATACACCACTCCTGCACAGTGCAGCAATCCCAGCCTGAAGAATGCATTAAAAGGTATAATATCCATTTTCCAAACTGCTCATCCTTCTGGGTAGCAGGGGGTCTGGAGTCTATCCCAGAAGCTACGTGAATGAGGTGGGGTACAACCCAGGATGGGGGCCCAGCCCATCGCAGAGCTATAATATGTCCTCCTCAACCAAATTCTCATTCGGTTCTCAGTGGAATTAATAAGTGAATTCCTTAAAATATTAAAGGCCAGCCTGACTTTCAACAATAGCTGTCATCAGCGTTAAAAACCAACCCTTCACATCTTGATTTGTACTGAATCTACACAAGCACCCATGTGAACAGTCAGAGAATAGCCCAGGTGTAGGATGTGAGAGTATGTGAGAGTGTATAGATGGAAATTTATAAAATAGTCTTCCTGTTAGTGTAGTGCAAGTTAAAACCTTGGGTTCCATTAAATCAGAGCTAGATAAGATTTTAACAACTCTGAGCTATTAACTAAGTTCTTCCCAAATGGGCTGAATGGCCTCCTCTCGTTTGTCAATATCTTATGTTCTTATGTTCAAGCTGGGTGAGGTGTAAGGAAAATTTACCCCAAGGGGATCAATTAAGTACATACATATCAAATTTGTTAACCTGACTTCCTCTGCTGGCCCAGAGAGGATGTCCCAAGTTTTCTTCCTACTAGGGAGTCTTTCTCTGCCACTGTCGCCTCTGGCTTGCTCACTGGGGGCTTTAGGCAGGGATATTGTAAAGTGCTTTAGGACAATGTAATGTTGTGAAAATGCATTATACAAAAAACTGAATCGAATATGCATTAGATTTACTGCTCCAAAGCTTTCTCTGTTAATTTATTTTCAACTGCGTATTTTCAACAGCAGAATCAGCTGATCCCAACAGAGCAAGTCCATTTTCTTACAGGATTCACACATTCAAGTATTTATTTACAACGTGGGGGACTGGCAATTTCTGACAAAAGGAGCAGGTCATTTTCAGCAATGTGATATTATAACAAAAGGCTTAGGAGAGCAATGAGTCATACAAGCAATTCTTGGCAGCTTGGCAGTCTGTAGTTAATTTACCCCAGATGATGGGCAGTCGGATAATCCTTCCCAGTTTGTCATGTAAGCCAAAACATAGCCATGATTTAATTGGCTTTTTAGGGACTTGCAGAATGTGACCTTAACTCACATATTCTTTTATACTCAATATAATTCCCAAAAAATTGAGATGGGTTTTTTTTTAATTAGTGATTTTCTTTCTTCAGTACTAAGGTACTCAGCCGTACAAAATTAAAGGACAATTAAATGGCAATATCAACTTAAATAGTTCTGTTTCAGTACCCCAAATCTGTGCAATTCTGTATACTACATATAAATCTGTAGTACTGCACTACCGTGTAAAGCATTTATTGGGCAGGTGTTATAACAGACATGGATTTTGCTTGTACATGGGTGAATTTATAGGAAAAGTGTATGTTTTCCCCCCCAAATAAAAGTAATCATGAGCATCATGGCAGGATTATCACTGGACATTCAAATCAATATGGGAACATCATTGTTATACAGATTTACATTATGTTAAGTGGGGACCATTAACAGCTAACTTGAGCATATGAGCACCTATATCCTTCACACTCCAAAACAAAAGGTATGTAAGATATGTGTCAAACATTATACAGCACACCAACATACTTGATGTTGTGTCCAGCCCAATGTGAGATGTCAAAGTGAGCTAAAATATTCTCAAAGTCTGCTGGTTAGGTACACATAGTCTGATCATTGGTATCATTAACCTGAGTTTATCAAAAGAGCAGAGATAGAGAGAGAGTCCGGCACCTTCTCCTCTGGCCCTGGGGATAGTCTCCCTGGTGTGGATACTGAGAGAGGCCAGCTAGCATCAGACACTTTGGATGTCCAGAGTGCAAAGTGAGGAAAAACACACACAAACACACCCACACACTCATTATGCAAATAAAAATCACCCACAATCACACATTCCGCCCTGCAGAAACTTCTGTAGGGGCCAGTAGCTTCATCCCATCATCCTAAAAATGTGTGGATCTCTTCATCACAATATCCCATCTGCTGCACAAGCCTGTGGGGGAGATCAGACAGTACTCATACAAGTTCTCCTAAACCAAAACCTGTAATTCATATCAAAATCTATAATTCACAATCGCAAGCTGCTTCAGCGGGCACCTGGAGCTATTTTGGCAGAACTGTTCTAGGCAGGCAGTACAATGTCATTAAAAGGCGGTAAGATGACTAACCCTCGTGCCAGTTTTGTGAACGGTGTGGGGCCGCATATGCACACAAAACACCTGGACTCCTTTGGCCTGCTCATGAAGTCCATCAGCAGTGAAGCATCGATTCGGCCCCGACAGCCTGTCCAGTCATCAGATGGCTCAGAGAGAACATGCTTCACTTCAAACCTGAGACACAAAGTCAGCTCTGTAGATGTCTGCTGCTTTAAAGTACTTCAGTGAAAAAATCTGAGTAAAAAACTTCCTGCATGAATGGGCCAAAGTATGAAATTTACTGCTTGAATAAGAGTTTTTGAAATACATAAATATCTATTAAACTTCAAAAGCAGTACATTTGTGAGTCACATAGGCACAATCAACAGCAATAGGGAGATCTACTGAATAAGCAGGAAAAACAATGAACTGAAATATAGATGATTAGTGGCAAGGTGAGTGCACTGCTGACTGAGCCCTGCCCTGATTGCGAAACACATCAACAACAACAAAAAATCTAGACATTTTGGTTAATTAAGCAAGTAAAATTTACTACCAACAACCCAAATAGACACAACCAACACATGACCTTAGTTACTTATAATGGCAGCAACATCCATCCATTTTCTGAAACCACTTATCCTGTTCAGGTTCACGGGGGGGCCAGAGACTGTCCCGCAGGCTACAGGCGCAAGGCAAGGAACAACCCAGGATGGGGCACCAACCCATCGCAGGTAAACACACACACACCATTTACTCACCCACGCATACCTACAGGCAATATGACAATTCCAGACTACCCAGAGGAAACCCCATGACAACACGGTATCCCCATGAAAACTCCACACACATCGAACCTTGACTGAAACACGACCCCAGTTCCCAGAGGTGACAGAGCTAACCACTGCACCACCATGCCACTCACGAGGCAGCAACATGACAGAGGTAAATGCTAGTGCTGTAGTCAAGACCGCCGAAATCCGAGACCAAGACATTGCCGAGACCGGAAGGTATCAAGACCAAGACACTGCCGAGACTTGAGGGTACAAAGACCAAGACCAAGACCAAGACACACTAAGGCGAGACCAAGATTAGTGCTGTAGTCAAGACTGCCTAAACCGAGACCAAGACATTGCCGAGACCGGAAGGTATCAAGACCAAGACACTGCTGAGACTTGAGGGTACAAAGACCAAGATCAAGACACACTAAGGCGAGACCAAGATCAAGACTGATCAAGACCAAGACCAAGACCAAGACTGAAAACAGACTAGGGATAGAATCAACATCACATTACTCAGATCAACTGTAGAGAAAAAAGGCATTGCTGTAAAGTGTCATTACTCGTTAAATCAAATTCATGTTATCTTTTCAATTATACTGTCCATATGTCCATATGTCTCTCATTTAAAATCTTCCAGATTTGTCATAGTTACGAGGCCTGATGGAAAATAATATTCTCAGCAATCCTCTCC